CACACCCATCATCCAGCACACACACACACATCATCCAGCACTCACACACACATCATCCAGCACTCACACACACGTCATCCAGCGAGCACACACTGCATTCATTATACACACTCTTCACTCACTACAAACACACTACATTCACTATACACCCTCTGCATTCACTATACACACTCTGCATTCACTATACACACTCTGCATTTATTATGCACATTCTGCACTCACTACACACTACATTCACTATACACACTCTGCATTCTGTGTACACACTCTGCACTCACTAAAAACACACTGCATTCATTATACACACTCTGCATTCACTACAAACACACTACATTCATTATACACACCCTGCACTGCACTATATGCATAGGAGTGTAATTTTTTTTTTTTAAAGGGGGGGGGGGTGCGGGGCGGGAATCTTGGGTGAGTTCCCACACTTTTTTCCCCAGGACTTGACCCCTGCCAGGCCCCCCAGGACCGCCGGGCCCGTGACAACCGTCATGGTTGTCACCCCCTGATGGCGGCCCTGGTGCACAGCAATCTGCTAACTACATGCACCTCCAGCTCCTGCCCAGCTGTTGGACAATCAATTTGTGGCGAGATGTTGATGCTCCTGTGTCCCTTTAGGTTGCTCCAAACCCATGGTCTCTAAATATTTATTCAGAATACTAAATATGAGCTAAATATTTACTCAGCTAAATATTTACTCAGAATACGTTTAATAAGGAAGTTGCTTTGTGAAAAGAGGGAACATAGCTAACTGCGGAGAAGGAAAAAAAAGTTTTCTTCTTTTTTAAAAATCAAAATGAAAGAGCCTTGAATGTGGAGAAAAATGCATCACAAATATGATGACCAAACTCAAATGGTCTTAAGTTGTGTTGACTGTAGCTTGGCCATTCTACAGTCCGGCATATTCATCGACCATGGTCTCGTCTGTGTAGATATCCTTGTCTAGCCTTGTTCCTAAGCTCTGCATATTGATTCATGAGTAATCCTGACATCCTCATGCCAACATGTCACGTTGAGAGAGAAGTTGGAGGAATGCGCAATATGAGTCTGTCTAACCCAGCTCGTCTCCTGAAATATTATTATTACTATGAGTTACTGAATTAGGGGCGTTTACCTGTTATTCTGACAATACCTCACTCTTGATTAAGAGAAGTCACAATGCTATTTTTATTCTGGACATGTTTTCCTGTCTGCTCCTTAATAATTGTGCTTCTTGCTATATGTTATATCCATGTTGATTGTGTATTCCTTTTTAATAAATATATATATATACACACACTGGTTTTATTAAAATATAGTAATTTGGAACACCTTACTAGGTCCCTGAAATAAAATGGGAAATCTTCCTTGCATGACTACTGAATTTCTCGATAGCATGTTAGTCCATGATTTATTTCTCTATAAACTATTAAGCCTGGTGGTCCATTCTCAGTATAACAGATATGCAACTGTTTATTTTCTTGTGCTAAAAATCAACAATGATATAGTCCCTTAATAAACATTAGTTTTCTAAGATCAAAACACTTTGGAAAGTAAGATTTTGCCCCAAAGGAAAAATCATAGTCACCAGACTTGCAGAATTTACAATCCATAATACTCTCAGAATATCAGTTTTGTCTCCTTAAAATACATGATTAAAGATCTAAAAAAGCATGAAAAAATAACTACTCACAAGGCTATTATGCAAACTTTGTTTTGGCAATGGAAATCATTTTCCATGTACTGGCACATGTGAATATTTTGCATTAGAGCAATGAACATCTGCTGTGGAGGTCTGATAAGTGCCTATCGGTTCTTGTATGAATAGCAGAGTTTTCTTCATGTACTTTCATCAGTTAATTGAACATTTATGAGGTAACACATTTTCTCGTACATTTCATTATAAAGATATTCGGGGTCCAACTTAACCATAGTCCTGGACATAGAATTTTTGTTGACTGAATGAAAAAACAGTATATTGAAAAGCAATCGGCATCTGCTATTTCATAGTGGTGGTAACACTGTGTGAATCCGAGCAAGGGTGGCCATATGATTTCAAGACAAATTGCAGCACCTGCCCCCATAACAAACAACTTGATAAAAACAAAAAAATTATATTTAAAACAGATTATTTTTCTACTTACAACAAGTATATAGTTCATATATGAACTGAATCCATTTGTTCCCCTTAATTATAATATCCCTCTCTATTTTTGTTGTTGATGCTTGTATTCTGTCAATTAAATTCTGGTGTTGATTGCCTTCTTACATCTTATTTCCCCAATAGCAGAACCCACTCTCTATCGCAACTTCCT